TTTTGCAATTAGCGAGTGGAAAAGGTTAATACTTTTATAACGTAGTATGCAGTTATGTACTACGTTATTGAACTTCATATTGTTTTATAGAAGTGTATATATACACTTGCAGAAATGTAGAAAATATTATTAAAACTAGGTATAAGTGGCATGAGGCCTAAATGCAAGTTATATGTAGTTTCCGATATGTGTAAAGAATCGAAATTTAGCAACAATTGAGATTTAGCACCTTTTACAAATGTGATGATTACAATTTTCAAGAAGCCCACAAGAAAAAAGAAAAATTTGGAGATCTACTATAGTGGATTACAATACACCTTGTTAATATAATTTTTTTATTATTATTTTAAAGTCAATTAATATATGTCTAAATTTCTATTTGAATCTTCACATTGAATGTTTAATACAAAACGTTAGTACAAATAGATAATTATCAAAAAATCAATATCGGCTAAATAGGGGTTCATAGCAAAGCCTAAGGGATCCACGACACAAACAAGTTTGGGAACCTATGGTTTAGATTCTATACTAACGCTTTTGCTTTCACTAAAAACTAATCAATGCAATTTTTGATTCATAACTTTCAAACAAACTTATACCATCTGAAATTGTATTAATGCAATTAATAGATTTAAACATTCCATTCTTTTTTGGATTTTAAAAGCGTATTTTATTGATGTGTGGAAGTCAACGGTGATCAATAACAAAACATAAAAATGTTAGAAATTTTTAAAACTGGTTTAGAATTTTTGGCAAAAAAGTTGAAGAAAAATTTTGCTTATTATAAAGAAACGGCTTGGCCGATCAAGATCATATTAAATTTCATCAAATGGCTATCTAAACTTAAGAAATCAGTTCAATGTTCTTGAGAAAAAGTCGACGAAAAATCAAATTTTGGCACATATACATACAAACACATTCACATATCCACACATTATTTTTTCTATTTTTGTGACTAACAATTCAGAATGGCTTCAAACGTCGAGGGAAAAAATTAGCAATTCGAATTTTCTGGCAAAAACATTTCTCTTTGAGGAAGTTAATAACTCTATACTTTCTAAAGAAGTTAGAAATGTTAAAAATCATTTTTGGGAACAATCTCAGATCATATGAGTAAAAACAATATGAATAAAATTAAGTTCATAATACTACGTATGGGGGTAAATTTTGCCTTCTATAAAGGAGTATCACATCGCTCAAATGCAATAATAATAATTAATAACAAATATTTAAGCAATCCTAATTATTTTTTGGCAAAAAATATATTGCAGCATTGCTTTTTTAAAAACTAGTATCAGAATAATAGAACATTATGCCTGAAGCAAAAAACAACTGTTTTTGTTATTCATCAAACTCTCTTCTCTTATATGAAAATATCCGGTTTGGATCTTTCTCTTTTTTGTCAATTTGAAGAATGCTTAAAATTAATCTGACATTCTTACAATGTGGGATATGAATCTGATATCCAAAAGGTCCATAAAAATTTCTAATAATATAAACACACACATATATATACAGTTGCATATTTTTATAAAATTGTACATTTTTTATGAACAATAAAATTGTTCATTAATATCTAAATAATTCAATCGTACAGCAGTAAGTCACCTAATAACAACTGGAAGCAATCACAGTATCTAAAAAAAAAATTATGGATCTATAAATAAATATTTGAAACGTATGAATAAACAGATAATTAAACAGTTAATAAAATAATGAATTAATATTTATGATATTGTAATAATATCCAGCGAAGCAGAAATCCTCCAATACCGTAAAATTGTTTAAATAGTGATATTTATCCATTTTTATGTGTATAAAAAAGTACTCCTAAAGAAATAGAATTACTAGCCGAATAATTGAGGATTGACAATAAAGAAATTTGTGTATTTATTATTATATAACATGGAACCGGATGAAGGCATATTATTGTCCAACTATGACTGTGACAAACTTTTGTGTAGAATATAAACTGAAAAATATAAATTGAAGTTTTTTATGTATTCTCAACATCAATAAGACGTTGTGATAATTTACTCAACTACATTGCTTTTCAGAAGGCAACCCAACGGTTGACCTACCTCTATTTCATGAATTTAAGAAGTCCATCTCGAAACGTATGAAAATAATGACGGTATTTTTGAAATATCTTCCATTTTATTTGATCATTATCCTGAAGATTTTGGTTCACATATTTCAACAAAAAAATAATAAAAAAAAAACTTACATGTGTTAATAACAAATATATATAAATATGTGTGTATGTTCAATGTAAGTATAAATAAAATATAAAATTGCAATAAATTCTAAAGTGAAATACGAGAAAAGTACATTTCATAGAAATAATTTCTGCAAGAATCATACTAAATGTTGCACTTTAAAAATGTGAGAGTAAATACGTGTTTGTAAACAATCTTAAAAATACCTATAAAATATTCCATTAATCGTTTTCTTTTTAATTAAATATGTATGTTGTAATAGTTTTTTCCACATCAAGCATTGAATCATTTTTATGAACCAAACGATAAGAATAAAAAACAGACGAAAGAGAATTTGAATAAATTAGCATAAGTCCATATTTAACAGTTTGATATGCAAATATGTTTAATTATTTTCGAGCTTATTGTTAACGATAAATCATATGCATATTTGAACAACAATGATTGATAGTTTTTAACTATTTTTTACAAAAGGGAATCAAAACTTCATTATATTATACAGTATATAACTAAATATAACGTTTCTACAGTTTGGCACGTACAATATTTTATTAATTTTACTCTTGGCGATTTCTACTTGAGATTATATTTGAGATCTATAACCTCAAGTGAAAATTTGATACCACACTGCTTGATATCGAGCTGACCGAGGTATATTGGAATCGAACCCTGTTATCGACTGGTTAGTGCTAGCACACGTTAATTTTTAGCTATTCCTATCGATGAATGTATAGATATTCTCTTTTATAAAATATTTTATTATTTGTCATTAACATAATATTTTTAAAAATCGCAGTTGATAATTATCAACTAGATATCAAGATATCAATAGTAATATATTTGTTATATGTTAACTTATTTAAATATCGATTAAGTTTTTTTCAGAAGCATAACATGATTATAGATATTATATTTATAAACAATATAAAATGTTATAAAGCGATAAAAAATAATTATTTTCATTTCAATATTAGCATTATTTGTGAAAAATAGTATAAATATATTATATTTATATACTACAATAAAAAATTACCCATAAAAATAATTATAATGTGAATTATATGGGATATATTATCAGCATTGTTTGTGAAAAATGAATGACTAAAATGTGATGACAATATTAAATATCAATACACTAAAAAAGTAATTGTGTATGGTTAATTGGTTACATAAATAAAAACCTATATTCAACACATCAAATCAGCAGTTTTGATTGATAGTATTATTGTATTCTCCTCGAATTACAATTTGTAGCAATTTTTAAGGAACATACACAAAAAATTATTAAGGCGTAAAAATTCTCAAATTTCTTATCACTATAAATATTTTTATTTTATATTTATATTAAATATAATAAAATTATAGAGTGATTCTGAAAGTTTCTATCAAAGATTATAAACAAATTTTATTAGAAATATATTGAATAAATCAAAAAGTTATCTCTGGAAGTTGAACGATAGTTAAAATATGCATGTCGTTGAATTTGTCAAAGAAACGTTAGATTTATATTGCGAAAAAGAATTCCAAATATTTCGCAGATCTGGAGTTAAAAATGCTAGAAATAAAATATTGGCACTCAAAAATAATGGTTTTCATTAAACTTTCACAAAATCCAGAAAAAAGTCTCGAAAATTTTATCGTAACAATCGACTTTGAAATAAAACTTCTAAAGAGAAGTAAATCATCTGACATTTGTGAGTACAAATTCTTATTTCCACAGAATTTTCAATTTATAAAAATTTCAAGAAATTGCTTTTGCTGTTCTTTTCAAAATTTTCAACATAAAGAATTCGGTTTACATAATTTGACATGCACACACACACACACAAAAAGACCCCCAAGACCAACCACTGCGAGGTTTATCAAAATTTAACCCTTATTTTTGGGTCAATGCACGGGACATCAGAATTAATTTCAGAGTATGGGTTTCTTCGGCAAAGTATATTTTATTTTGATCCCTAGATTCCGAAAATTATATGTGGCTAAGTGGCCCTTAAATCGACCCGCCCTAATAATATATAAAATATAATAAGAAAGAAAAGCAAACGGGGTCAATTAGGACAAAAATATAAGAGTGATATTTAAAGAACTCTAAAGCCTCCTCCTATAAAGGGCGGATTTGTGGCGAGGGGGCAAGGAATAAGCGGATGTTTTAGTTGGTATTATTTATAATGAGCCCAACATACCCAGACAAAAGAACTAGTCTGGCATTCATAAATGCATTTCCCTCGCTACTCAAAAATAAATATTAAAAAAACACATACTCAATTTGCACAATTTGTCAAATTGAAAAGGTAAATTGATTTTCAATATGATTATTAATACGTTTTGTCACTCGATGTGTGTCATCAAGCAGTAAATGGAACCAGGAAAAAACTAAGACACAAACTTTGAAAAATTACTTTAAAAAGAAAAATGTTAATTAACGATAAATACATAACAATAACTATTTTATAAAAAAAACTGTCAAAAAAATTTAAATATTTGACAAAACAAGGATTCTCAATCTGTCAATATTAAAACTGAGCTCCTGTGCAGAACTTCAGGTAAGTTTTGATTTTGACGGATTAAGGATGATTAAATAAAGCAAAAAAATAAATTTACCTTTTTAATTCGACGAATTGGCTGTATAATGTATCAAATATGTTTAAAAAACGACACACATATATTTATATATATATATATATATATATATATATAATATATAATATTTGTGTGTGTCAAAATATAAAACATCACAAACCAAATTTTAAATTAATAAGATAAAAATGAATAGCTAACCGTTATTTGGCTCCGTCCTGATGCAATTCACAATATTGAAACCGAACAATATTTTCACAACTGTTTTAATATTTTTTAATATCACAGATTAACTTAAATCTACCTAAACTGTCCATAAGCGTGCGCGCCTCAGGTATGGCGCGCTTCGACTGATCGTGAAATTCAAATCCGCGCGGTCGGCGGCGACTTCACTGCGTATGCAATAAAACAAGAAAGTACGAAAGCATTATATTGTATCATTGTGTAATTAGGGTGTAATTGTTCAATAAGTTGCAGAAAAATCAGCGAAATAATACAATCATCGGAAAAACGAACTAAGATTGTAATGGAATATGAAAAGGATTTTCTTTATGCAAAAATGAATATATCCGTCCCGTATTTTGGTTTTCTGTATCACATCCCTCACTCAAACAAAGTTCTAAATACTTAGCACAGGCTTAGCACCATCAATTTTTAGCTTCCCAAAAAAGTTTCTCTTTTCGCCATGAAATTTTATCGACATTCCGAGTTATTCTGAATCGTTTGAAACAATTCTTGGAAAAACTATGTGTAAATTTGATCTTTTGTGGACAACCATTTTATAAGCAATCAGATACCAGATTAAAAGCAATCAAATGTATGTTCTCTTTGGCTTACATATTATGTGTTATTTCAACCCGATATTTGGCCATAATTTATCTGATCATATTGTTAGTAGTACTTATGTGATATAGCAGAAATTCTCTCAAAAGGCTATTTTTACTCGATACCATATTTTAGATAACAAATAAAAAGTGAAACAATTTCTGCATGATATCAAGTTGGCCGAACTAATACCTGAAATCTGCGATTGCAGAACAAAGCCTTTACCAAAATAGGGAAATCTTTATATGAGAAAAAGCAAACAATGAATGTACCATTTTGGTTTTGAAAATCTTGTTAAAGATGAATTAAAAAAACGCTTTAATATAAATATGATCGATAATCATGGATTATACTACTTATTTTACAAAAATTATTATCAATGGCAAGAAACAAAAAACGGAATTGGAGTTTTAAATGCCAACAAGTGATGTATTGAATTGCTTTTTATCATATTATAGTCATTATATATTTATTATAAAAATAAATATAGCCCTTATAAAGATAGGTACATATTTCTTTATTATTCATCTTGAATAATACGCTAATTCTAGTTAAATTAACATTAAAGTGTTAACAGTTGCGGCTACCAGGTGAAATATTCATACATCTACTCTCATAACAAATTATAAAAATTTGTTATTGTGAATCTTCATTGTAAACTAGATCAGTGCTAGTCTTATCTATAGTGCGAATACTGTGTTGTGCATTTATGGTACTACACATAATTTGAAAACCAATTCATATAGAACACAAACCATAATTGTTCAATGGCTTGCTCATGATCATTTAAAAAACGATATTTTATTTATTAATCATTAATGAGTAAAATTTAAAGTAAAATACCAATATTCGTAAATTATTGAAATTTGATCAAAAATAATTTTGAAAATTAAATAAACAAATAGGTTTTTGTATTTTTATTTCATAATTAAAAATAGACAAGATAGTTTAACTCGATTGTTTCAAATAGTCCTTCAAAACATCCAAAGCTGGAGTCTCTTCCCCAAAATCCTAAAAAACAAAACAAAACATTGAATAAAATGTATATAATTACAAATTGGTAATTAAATTAAATTAGGTAAATCTATGCTTATTTAACACCAAGAAGTAATAAAGTAAAGGAAACAACTATTACATAAGATGAATTTCAGTGCAATTTTTTAAATATTCATAGTAACTCAGTTACTTATTTTCAGAAATTACTAAGTACTATATTTTGGTTATTGGAATGAAGCAAATATTCAATAAAGTCAATAATAAAAAGGTAAAAATGTCTAGTGTCTTGTTCACTAAGGATGCTTCAACATAATTAATTACAAGACAAAAACTTTGATACAGAAACTAAATTATATAGAAAACTGAATGTAATGAAACTCACTCTGATGACAACGCATGAGCATCCAACAATCTTTCTGGCTTTACCATCTTTGTCAATTTTGCAAAGACCTGCCCATTCTCCTAGTTTTTTGTTGCTATCAACTTTAACAAGGGGAATCTGATGCTCATTGCACAGAGCTTGTACTAATTTTTTGTACATTGGTTCGTCGCAACTTTCAGCCAAAACACAAAGAACTGCTTGTCGTCTAAAATAATTATATAATTAGTTTATGGTTATATTTGTATGGTTATATTTTTGCATATATCTAAAATAAATTATAAACTACCTTTTAAAAGCCATGGAATTACATTTTCACAAAATCACACAAACATTGTAAGAAAGATAAAAACGAATGCACCACTTAAATACATATGTATAAGATATTGAAGAAAAGAATATTAGAATCAAATCCTATTTCTCGAAATCTATCAGTCACTCATATTGGTTATAAATAAATATAAACCTATTAAATATATCATACAGTTTTTCCCACACGGTTTTCACAGAGCAAATACTTTCATATGTTAATTATTTTAATTTGAATATTAATTATTTTAATTTGAATAAAAATTAAATCAGATTACCACCATTAAACCATGGTGGTTAATATATGTAGTTAATCGCTTCAAGTATCAACATATATGCTATAATCAATAGTAATGAAACTACACTGGTTGAACCATTAGCAGTCTTACTTGTCCAGAGATTTGGTGGCTTCGTGTAAACCATGTACAAGTCCATCATGAATAAGTGCAGTCTTCAACACTTCTTGTAAAGCAGTGTTTACGTCCATGGCTCCCCCAAGAACTGGGGCCGAAGAAGGTACATCACTAAAATTAAGAGGTCAATATCATTATCTAACCTCAAAATGTCTTCTGTAGAAGTTGAAAATGTAAAACAAGAAACATATTTTTGGAGTAGTTTTTGAATAAAAATTTTATATATGGATTAATTTGACGAGTAAGTCATTTTGTAAATCATATAATACTTAGCACGAGTGAAATACTTACACTTCTACGTCTGACATATTGTAATTGATGTTTTAACAGCAAATAACCTAAAATATATAAATAACAATATTAAAGCACATCAATTATAAGACACAACACAATTCTGTACACTGATGAACAAGATAATTGAATTTTATTTTAACATAAAAATTTTCAATACTAACACAGTGCTTGCCGTACCGGAAAAGAAACAAATTTCGTGTTGCCATCAAATTATTGACAATTCGAATATGAAAGCTTGCGTTGGTGCTACTGTATTTATCGCGGGAATATGATTTTGATTTGATTCGATTTGGCAAATGAAGTTATCGATCTTATAAATATCAAATCTACAAAGTATATAGTATTTCATTCAGTTAAATAAATGTTCAACCAAATTTTAATCCGCATTCTGTGAAAATATGAATCACACATCACGTCTTTCACCCTCTAAAATTTTATAATTAATTAGATTAAATACACCTATTTTCACTAACTGAAATAAAATGACTGCACATTAACTATTCATTTATATATTTATTAACTATTTATTTATATCCATATATATAATATGTAATAATTATATTATATTTTATTATTCAATTTTAATAAATAATACATGAGTATTTTTTCTAATATTTATTTCTCTATAGGCTGTACATATTTATTTACATTGCACAAAATGTGTTGATATTAACAAAACAAAATATGACTATTAGTTTATTATAAATATGAATATTAAGTAGAATATATAGTTCAATACTTTTACAGAAATCTTATAAAAGATGTTTTAAATGGATATGTTTCAATCTATTTTATTCACATTTTGTATGTTGAAAAACTATGATTATACATTTGTAAACTTCAATAATTTTATTTTACTATACTTAATAATTATATAAGATTTTCTTTATTAAAATGCACATAAATATAAATTATTTTCATGAAGTTAATGAAAATTCTAATATATACCAAATCCATTTGTCACCTATATTTCTCAAAAATTTTAATGTATGACAAAAATCATTTGTTGCGAAAATCCTCACGCAACTTTGGAAAGTCAACAAATTCTTTTCCATAATGCATAATTATAGAGAAAGTAGATGCTATCATAGCTCCCCAAAATAACATGTACAGTAACACCTCAGTGGAATATTCATGAGGAAAAATTGCACTTGCAAAAAACATGGATATAGCGATCATCAACACGGAAGGAGCCTGAAAAGTTATGATTAAAGCAATGTATTTTCTTGAGAATTTAAAAAAAAACTTTTGGATTTGAATCTTCATGAAAGTTTTCATATAAAAGTAAATTTTTCAATATTAAAACCAATTCATACATACCGCTACATACTTCCATCCTCTTGTCACTTGCAAAGGGCTTCTTCTCAAAGTACCTTCATCTGCATTGACCTGATAATTACCAAGGAAGAGGTCTATGGAATCCTGTTTAATGTTTTTTTTTATTATTAATATCTATTACACAAAATATTTAATAAATTATAATAACCTGTCTATAACCATCAGAGAAGTTATTCATATAGTATCTTGTTAATGAATTAACTCCATCTTTCATTAGGCCGACCCGAGTTCTTTTTCCTGTTCTTGTGAAATCTGTTTTGAGGGCTCCTGTTCCTGAGTATTGAATACTAACAAGATCTGCATTGTCTGCCCAAACCTATTGGAAAATGATTTAATTATACATTAAAGTAAATATAAGACTTTCTCATCAATGGTGATAAAAAGCAAATTCAAGAAAACAATATTTTGGAAACATCTTGAAAATGTGTTTTAAGAAAAATAAGATAAGATTAAAGATAAGTAAATAAGTAACATATATATTAAATAAATACCGCTTTGAATAAACTCTCAAAATGTGGAATATCCTGAACATTTTGTCCGGGCTTAAGAACATCTAGCTTATGCAAAACTCCATTTAATGATCTTCTAGCTAACATACTTTGAACAACATTTGTGCGATCCAAGCAATCAACGCAGTTTGTACGAAAAACACCTTCTTGAGAAGAAATTAAGCTTCCATCTCTTCTCAATAAAAATACTGAAAA